TAAAGCTCTAAATTTGATCTTCATCGCCACGTGCCATTTTCTTGAATTCCTCCGAAAAAAAATAGTTCTTAAAATCTTTCTTTCGAAGATACTTATCATGTTCTCATCTGTTCGAGCAATGGACCAAGTTTCAGATGCATTATTTAATACTGACCTTAGAAGGCTTTTATACAATATATAGCCTTTGTTATTCTTTTGATTAGATATATTTTATCATACTCCTCATTTTTATCCGAGTTGATTAATTTTTTTCTTATGTAAAACGTGTTTCTCGTTATTTCTCCTATACCATAATGCTATAAATAGGCTATATTCTTTACGTTTTAAAATTTAAAAAAATACTCATTTATAGAACGTTTTAAAATTTTAAAGCGCAGCATTTATAAACAGTTCGAATTTCATTAGAAATAACGTAGAATAAATTTAAAGTTAAAAAATAAAATGTAATTAAGTAATTAATATTTGAAAAAACTGTATTGATATCAAGTGTCATCCACTACAAGCTTAAAAAATGTATATGAACTTAAGTGGATGAATAAAAAGTATTTTATTAACGAGAGAAAATTTGAACAAGATATATGCAGTGGCACACACAAGGAGGAGGGTCCAGGGGGTCCGGACGACTCCCCCCAAAGCCCTTGATTTTTTTCCCGATTGATTATAATTCCAAGTATATAGTATGTAAAATTTAATTAAGTATTTGTTATTTATGATTAATTTTATTAATTATTCAATAATTAGTTTTTATTGTGTTTATTCCCGAAAATCGACAAAATCAAAAGGAGCATAATACAAGAATGGTGAACTTTCGAACCTGGAACCCCCTTCCCCTCCTCCTTAAAAAATTCCTGCGTGCGCCACTGTATATATATATGTGCTACATTTCGGCATGCTTTGAATCTGCATTAGGGTCCAGAATCTGGAAATAACTTATTTATTGCACTCAGATTTAGCGCGGCGGGCTTTGCATTTTTAAGTGCAATTTTTAGGTTAAGTTACCTCTATCTTGTAATGGATTTAAATATTTCTATTCATTACTTTCAATAGGTTTTTGCTCAGCATTATTTACATAAAGGGGGGAGGTTGGCTGGCTAAAAACATGTTCAATCCCACTTTTATATAAATTATTTTATATATCAGCTATCCTAAGTCAGCAATGTTTATAATACTGCGGCATCCATTTTATAATATTTTTTATCTAGGTTGCTCATGCGTCATTCATTGTGCAATTTTCCTACTGTCTATGTGATTTTCGAAGGTGATTGATGGATGTTTATCTTTTGTTTGTGTAGAGAATTGGACTATATATATACAATATATAAACGAGAAAAGCGACTCACTCACTCACTCACTGACTAATCACGATATCTCCAGAACTATTAAACCTACAGATTTGAAATTTGGTAGGTAGGTTCCCTTCATGGAGTAGACATCAGCTAAGAACAGATTTTGCAAAAATCGAACCCCAAGGGGCGTTACGGGGGTTTAAGGGGCATTCAAGATAATTAGTTCCATTATTAAACTATTAGATGTATACAGTCTTGAAACATGGTACACAGATTTCTTTCATAAAGTAGAGACTCCCTACATAATGATTTTTACGAAAATCAACCTCCAAGGGACGTTGAGGGGCGTTATGCATAATTATTTCCATTTTTAAACTGTTAGACGTACAGTCTTGAAATTTGGTAAGCGGATTTCTTTCATAGAGTAGAGATCCGCTACAAAATGGGTTTTGTCAAAATCGACCCCCAAGTGGCGTTGTGGAGAATTAAGGGACGTTATAGGCAACTAACTCCTTTTTTTAAACTATTAGACGTAAAATATTGAAATTTAGTAAGCAGATTCCATTCATTGAGTAGAGATCCGCTATAAGATGGGTTTTGGAAAAATCGCTTCCTAAGTGGCGTTACGGGGGCTTAAGAGGCGTTATATATAGATAATTATTTCCATTTTTTAACTATTAGACGTACAGACTTAAAATTTGGTATATATAAGTGGATTCCTTTCATGGTGTAGAGATACGCAACAAAATAGTTTTGAGGAAAACTGATCCCCAAGGGTCACTGAGGGGGATTAAGGGGCGTAATAGATAAATATTTCCTCTTTTCAACTAATAGACCCACCTGCTTGAAAATTAGAAGGTATGTTACGTTCATGGAATAGAGTTCCTTTTACCAAGAGTTTTTCGAAAACGGACCCCCAAAGGAGTGGGGTTGCGAGGGATTAAGGCGTGTTATAGAAAAATTCCTGTTTTTGAATTTAACCCATTTACTTGAAATTTGTTGAGCACGTTTCTTTAGTTGAATAGAGTTCCACTAAGAATGGATTTTACAGATATCAACTCCAGGAGGAAGCGAGGAGAGTTATTGGGATGCATTGATAGACAAAATTCCCGTTTTCGAACTGCTAAGACTATAATATAAAAATTTGGTTTGCATGCTTCTTTTTTGTTGAATTGAAATCCACTAAGAATGCTCTCAACGAAGTGTTTGTTCAGTGTTGAACAAATGGTTTTTGTGACGCCCACAACAACAGGTGCATATTTGTCGCGAGAGGGCGCTAGTGTGTGAAAAACAGTGTGTAAACAGTGTATGTGTAGAGTGAGAAGAGAGCGTATGGAGAACGCTCAAATAAAATTCCTTATTCCTTTAGTCTCGCCATTTTGTGTGTGGTGTAATCTTTTAGAGATTTTAAATTAATGTGTAATGAATCGGTGCAAACTAAACAGTGTTTATGATAAAAATTCCATTTTTTCTCTGTTTGATTTAGACTTAAAATTTAGCACTCATGTTTATTTTATGGAGTAGAGATCCACTGAAAGTTGCTTTGGTGGAAATCCACTTGATTATTAGGTTAAGTGAGCACAAAAAATATTTCTACTTCTATTTTAGATATAAATGGAAATTAAATATTATAATTTATGTCCTTACATCAAGAGGCGAGAGTTACAGCTATAAATATATTTTTCAATACAATATCGAATTCTTAATGCTAGATATCGATAAATCATATCTATGTAAACAGTATAACATTTATACAACATCGTGAAATACCCAGTGAAGCGGGTGGGTAACGGCTAGTATATATATATATATGTGTGTGTGTGTGTGTGCGTGCGTAGGATATCCGTTTAACTATCTTTGTTAAAAGGTTGGATTATATCTTTTTCTAGAGGACTGTAACTTTAATTAAAACCGCATTCCAGATCAACGCCATCTGGCGGGCTTACGAGACGCTGATACAAATAATATTCCGGCAGCGGCCCAGTAACCATCGCCGAAAGAAAACGTAGCGCTTTCGTGCCCCCTCGCTAACCAGGCGTTTTCAGTCACTTAATGAATTTGCTTTTTCTTGATTCCTAATGTCCTCCTAGAGAAGGAATAATATTACATTCTATTTATTTAATATCCGTATGTTTTAATTCCTACTGCCCTGTATATACTCCCCCTATAAACTTTTCCCTACAACTTGTAATAAATTTTTTTACTTTCTAGAAGAACCTTCGTTTAAATTATTTTGATTCGATTTATTCAAAATTAACCCGTAAATTCTAAAAACCCTAAAACTATAAGAATAGTTCAGAAAAAAATTCCTATTAACACATTCTGTTATTGACTTCTGTGTTAATATCATAGCTCAACTTTGTTTTAAATCTATTAATGCTAGATTAAAATTATTCTTTAAAAAGAATAATTATATTTGCATATGAAAAAAACAACAATCCAAACTTGAATTTCTGAAAGGCAGAGCATAAACAAAAATTAAATTAACGGAAGTAAGAAAGGGTTTTTCGCCCAGAACAATATTATATTGTATACGCCTCCAGTTTTTTAATTCTATTTGACAAAAAGAACCGCAATTCATTGCCAAAATACACTGTATAATTTTGAATCATCAGGATAGACACTTGAAGTGGCAATCCATTCTCCACATCCACGACATACTGGAATAAGAATTTTGGTTCCCTATAAGTTATATATATAATCTTTCATCAGCCTCTCTACCCAATGATTGCACAGTGGAACTAGAACTGAAATACAAGGCTTAAGGTGTCCGACTACGTTCGGAACCGTGATTTTGCAAATGCGTAGAAATGGATAATATTTATGATATTTAGTGTCACTTATAGATTAGAAAATGTATATAAAACTGTTTTAAGAATAGTATTAAAATAAAAAATTATTTAAGTACAATATTTTGACAAAAATTGAACATAGAATGACCCATTTTCAAGATACTCTCCTTTTGTGAAAAATGCTTCTATTATAATAATAATTTGCCTGTATATAGCTCAGACCTCTGTTCAGAGGCTCAACTAGAATTTTTGAAATATATAACATCGAAGTGGGTTTATCCATGTTTTACGACAACAGAGGGGAGAAATTTTAAGGAAAAAACGCCGATAATTACTTCAATTGGTTGTAACTCTGAAAATAATATGAATTTTTCAAAAATAAAATAGTTGAGCCTCTGTACAGAGGTCTGATCTATATACAGGCAAAATATTATTATAATAGAAGCATTTTTGACAAAAGGAAAACATTTTGAAAAAAGATTATTCTAAGTCAATTTTTTGCCAAAATATTGTATTTAAATAATTTTTTTTATCAAAATATCCTTAAAACAATTTTATACATGCATTCTAATCTAATTGACACTAAACAGCATGGAAATTATCCATTTATGCGCTTTTTTAAAATCACGGTTCCAAGCGTAGTCGGAGGGTCTTAATTGAAATATTACCGTCCATGAGCTCTGTGACATGACCTCTTGGCTATCACGGTCTCATTAAAAAAGCTAGATGTCTGTTTGTGGAGCTTTTTACTTGATTCAAATATCTACTTAACTTTGCCCTTCGAAGATCAGAATTACAATCTGATGACGAGGTTGATAACGGTGCTGGCCCTGAATTCTTTACACTCACGGCTTGTCAACCCGAAGACACAGAACTACGCCAGATTCAATGTACATCAGCCTTTACTACACGATGGTATTTATCCATACCATGCTGAAAACACCGGCTCTCGTCCGATCACCAAAGTTAAGCATCAATGGGAGCGATCAGTACTTGTGTGGGTGCAGGGCCGGCTCTAGTAGTTTTGCCACCCTGGAAAAACATGGAAAACGCCCCCTCTTCTCTCTATATATATGACATGTTTCGAGCCAGAATCAGTCTTAAGTTTTAAAAAAGGATCCTAATTTGATGAAATCTATACAAGTTCTGACGCTGAGATGAGAGAGAAAAAAGAACGCCGCGTGAAAACTAAGTGGGTTAACACTTAAAAAGCAGATGTGATAAGTATGGCGGATTTTATGAGTGTACTTGAAAGTTAATGCTGACATATGGGGCTAGTAAATATAACGATCTGGAATTAGAAATATTTATTGGCTAAGCCATATGTTCAGAAGAAATAAATGAGTGATTAGTTTGATACTACTTGAAGAAGAAATGAAAAATAAGAGTTAAGTGCTAGATTGGGAATTTAATTTTTAATCTAATCTAATTATTCTTACATATATATGTAATAATTCCCTCTAGTATCCTTTTTATTAATAAATTCTTTGTACTAAAATTTAAAATAGCTTTAAATCTTTGGTTTAAAAATAACAGCGTAATCTGTGACGAATCTGTACGGAACCTTTCCATTAATCTTCTTAGGCGTCTTTCTGGGGAATATAAATTCGCGTTTATTTCCAATCAACTCCAAGGCCGCGGTAGCCGAGTGGTATAGGTATCGGACCGTGGTTTGAATTGTCACGAGTTCGAGCCCATTACCACTAAAGACCCGCCGTGTAGGGCAGCGATGCACGTTAAATCTGTCGAGAGCTGAAACGTCCTCCCGTTGGTGTGGTGTGGTAGTTAGGAGAGGGGGGTGCCAGCTCAGGTGTCGTCCACGTCACTTGACCATGGTTCAAAATTACGTGGTCCGTCGCCAAAAGCCCTCGTGTAGCTGAACAGTGCGACGCTAATATTCAATCAATCAACCAATCAACTCCAAAAAGAAGTATGGGATATTTAAATTAGATAAGGTATTTAAGTCGAGGGTTGCGAGATAGCAAGAGAGATGATGGTAGGCTATTGAGCCAATAACGTTAAATGCAAAACTAGAAGATTCAAAGAGATTAGATTCGTGAAGACGTACCAGAAAGCTGGCATAAGCCAGCGGTAAATATTATTCACATACGCTTAAAGTAAGCGTCAGTTTGAGATACTAAGTTAAAGTTAATGACAGTTAAGAATTCGAATACGTGTGTTTCTCGGATCTCCTATTTCGGTAAACCTTACTTGAGTTGATCTAGATTAGTAATTAATTGTATTCTTAGTAATTTAATTTAATATAAAGGCAAATCCCTTTAAAAGACGTAACATTATTATATTATATGTTATCAGAGATTTTTGAGGAAATTATAACAAAATAAATAATATTATTATTCAAAATGGCTCTTAGTGGTTCTTTGCCTCAAATTAATCTTGGTGTCCTTGGTGACCCTACCGTTATGATAGGGTCAAACAAGGAATAATCGATTATCACATTGAGAAAATGTTGCAAGAGGGTAAGATCCGTTATTCAATCCCCATACGCGTCACCAGTAGTTTTAACGCGCTAGAATAATGGCCTTCCTCCAGATTCTCCTGAGGCGTATCGATTCGCGATTGATTATCGCAAACTTAATGCAATAACTAAATACCCCCGATATCCATTACCGGTGATTGATGAACTAATAACAAACATTCCGCATACCGGAGTGATGTCCACATTGGATTTAAAAAGTGGCTATTTTCAATTGGTGATTAGTCGAAAAGATATAGAGAAAACCACGTTTATCACTCGCAATGGCACGTTCGAATTTCTCAAAATGCCTTTTGGCCTGTCAGGGGCGGCGCCAAATTTCCAAAAGACCATTGATATGATCTTAAAACCTGTTATTGGGCGTTTCGTGTCGGTATATATGGATGATGTTATCATCACATCTCCATCGTTTAATGAACACTTAGATCATTTGTATCAGGTATTTACATTGTTGAGAGACGCAGGGCTAACATTAAATAAGGATAAATGCCACTTCGCACGCGACAAATTGAAGTATTTAGGTCTCGTAATTAGTAAAGAAGGGATCGAAACAGACCATAGTAAAGTGAAGGCAATCACAGAAATGAAACCTCCTAAAAATAGCAAGGAAGTATCGAAATTTTTAGGGATGGCGGGGTGGTATCAGAAATTTATACCCCAGTATGCAGACATATGTAAACCATTATATCGGTTGAAGAAAAAGGGGGCTAAATTTAATTGGTCGACAGAAGCACAGGATTCTTTTGATAAGATAAAACGAGCATTAACTGAGGCACCAGTTTTGAAATTGCCGAATTTTACAGAACAGTTTAACTTATTTACTGATGCTAGTGGGGTCAGAATTGGTGCTGTGCTTAATCAAAACCACAGACCGATTGCATTCGCGTCTAGAACCCTCAATAAGGCGGAATGAAACTATACTGTTACTGAACGCGAATGTTTGGTGGTGATATGGGCCTTAAATAGATTTAAAACTTATTTCGGATCCCTGCCGGTGAAGGTAATCACAGATCACGCGGCATTAACAAAGCTAACGAATAGAAAAAACTTATCTAGTCGAATGATTAGATGGGCACTCAAGTTATCCGAGTTCAACATAAAATGGGAACATCGACTGGGGGTCCAAAACGTTGTCGCGGATGTTTTGTCTAGGAATCCAGTTGGCAATCTGGATGGATCACAAATTTCGTGTGCAGCTCTTCGAGCCCTAGCCTTAAACTCACGAGAACAACTCATTCGAGAGCAAAGGGAAGATCCTGAGTTAGGACACATCTATCGTTATTTAGAAAACCCAGACGACGGTTCCGTTAATGCGACTATATGCGAGGGTTGGTCCCAGGATTTTAAACTTATAGATGGTCTACTCTTTTACGCGAAATACTACACAACTCTTGGAGAACTAAGAATGTATATTCCTAGATCGCTTCGCGAAACAATAATGAAAGAATTTCATGATCTGCCATTAGCAGGCCATCTAGGAAAGAGGAAGACCTATTTAAAATTACGAGACACATGTTATTTTCCATATATAAGGAAATATATATTTGAATATGTATCAACCTGTGACCGGTGTCAAAAATTTAATTACAAAAACGCGCTACCAGCTGGTCGTTTGATTCCGATAGTATCGAATTACCCCAATGAAATTGTAACGTTAGACCTATTAGGCCCCTACCCCGCATCCCGACCCGAAAGATATAGATTTTTATTACTAATAACTGATCATTTCACTAAGTGGAGTGAGCTTATTCCTTTACGAAGAGCTTCGGCCCAGGCCATAGCTAACGCCCTTTTTGAGAATTAATTATATTTCACGTTACGGAGCTCCAATTTCTTTAATTAGTGATAACGGCCCCCAATTTATATCAGAGGTATTTGAACACTTAAGTCACAGGTTGGACATAAAACATATGAAAACGGTATCATACAGGCCACAGGCGAATTTAACGGAAAGAGTTAATCGCAATTTAGTCCAGATGATAGCCTGTTTTGTAAAAGAAAATCACGAAAACTGGGACCGATTTCTTCATGAATTCGCTTTCGCGCTGCGCACTTCAGTGAACGAAACAACAAATAAAACTCCGGCTGAGTTATTCTTAGGTAGAAAGCTTATAACACCTTTTAGTAAATTAATAAATGTCACAGAGGGTGCTGAATATGTAGGAAGAAACATTGAGAAATTATTCGATGAAGCAAGGCAGAATAGGCGGAAACAACACAAACATTGGGGCAAATATTATAATCGGAAAAGGAGGGAAGTTAACATCAAAAAGTTAAATGATTTGGTGTTGGTACAAACTCATTTTATAAGTGCTGCGGGTAGGAGAGTGGTTGGAAAGTTTATGCCTAAGTTTGAATGGCCATATAGAGTGTTGGAGGTTCGGAATAACAATTTAATTATTTTAAAGAGGGGTAAAAAGGTAACAGTTAATATTGACCAGGGGCGTGTGTACCGTCCACGACAATCCGACACGATTAGTTCGGACAGTCATGTTGAGACACTGTATGAAGGACAGAGGTCGAGTGATAGGTCAAGTAGATCGCAACCAGGAAAATTCAAAGGATCTAGGAAAACCTCGAGTGAGCAGAGTAACGGTCATAAATCAAGTAAGGGTAATGCCGGATGGGAGGATCCGAGATTGAAACGTAAAGTAGAGTCAAAAGAATCAGGGGACAGGAAAAATTTAAAAAGTTACAAAATTTGCAAAAAACGTCCTCTGCAGGGGTCCGAACATAGGGACCAGAAAAGACCAACCTCTGAACCAAAACAGGGGATAATAAGAGCAATTCCGTCCTCGGTTTCATCTCGTAATCATAAATATAGAAGACCTAATAACCCCTCCCAGGGATCACAGTCCATTGCAGGTCCTTCTCATCAACAAGATTCCAGGCAGGACAAGTCACCTACAGTAGCGAGCGGGCACGAAGGAAGCGGACTATACAACAAGGCCCGGGAGACAAAGACACCTAAAAACGGAACCAACAGGGTAGCTGAGAGGAGAACTGTGCGGTCTAATCAGATGACAGCAGTGAGACCTTGTCCGTACAACCTACGCAGCCGAGTAAGACAACCCGAAGGATTTCCAGAGGAGCGGAGGAACAGCGGAATAGCAAGTATTCCACAGAACAACATCATGAGAAGGAGCCTCAGTATGGAAGCCTTAGACGGAGATCCAGTGGATAGGAGCGAATAAAGGGCAAAGAAAAATATCAGGTTGTATCGTTTCTTTCTTTTCTCCTTTCGAACAAGTGGTCGGAAGAATTATTGCAATGAAGCAAGTCACGGGCGGATGTTTAATTTAAGAAGCCAAGCAAAAGTGGACACTACAATGAGTGTGTTTTTTTTCTTGATGAGAAAAATCAGCTTTTGTATTAATTTTTTTTTTGTATAAATATGGAGAAAACGTTTGTAAGAATGCATTTGTTTACTTCTATGTATGACTTCGCTAAGATGCGACAATTCCTTTGGTTGTTTGTTTTATTGTTTTTTGAAAAATGTTTGAAATTG